TAAGAATATTTCCCAACTATATTAACAATATATATATATATATATATATATATATATATATATATATATATATATATATATAAATGTTGCCAGTTTTGTTTTTCAAGTATAACCACCATGTGTATTTGGCTTTAAGATTGCCATAGGCATTTTTCAGTTGTCTTTGAGTCAAATCAACGCCATATTTTTCCTTAATGGTTGTTCCTAACTTGTTCCATGAATGTTTGTGCAAACTCAAACCTTTTTCTATCCATAGTGTGTACTTCTTTAGTACAAGTGTGGAATAAGAATTTTATGTGCTCATTGGTCGATGTATGTTTATCTCCCATTGCTAATAACAAATTACATTTGCAATACATACTTTAGCAAACATAACCTTATAACAACAACTTTCGGCATAACAACTTCTATTGATTAAACTAACGAATTTCAGCAAAGATTAGTCACATTTCAGCAACAATTATGACATTTCAGCAAAAAGTTTATGACATTTCAGCAACATTTCATGATATTTCAGTAACAATTCATGAAATTTTCAGCAACAATTCATGACATTTCAGCAACATTTTATGACATTCAACATCCATTAATGACATTTCAGCAACAATTCATGATATTTCAGCAACATTTCAATTATGATTCAACAACATTTCAACATAATATGATATTTAAGCATAAATTTATGACATTTCAGCGGAATAAAAAACATCATTAAAGGTTTGATAACATTAGCATCAAGAACAAAGATATCAACAATGATTCAACAAGAAAAATCAAAAAATTAAGATGAAGTAGGAAAGCTGAAGTTGCTCCAGCAAAAAAAATGAAAAATTCAAGATTCACCATGGCAGAATTGTTGCTTCAGCAACAATAAACGAAAAAAAAAACTTACCGAGATGAAAGATCAACGTTGATGACCGGAAGGAGAGGCGACTGAGAGGAGTCTGCGCCGGAGAGGAGGGAACGCCGATGGGAAGGAAGCTACACCGACGAAGGACTGATTGTAGATGCGATCGATCGGGGATGACGACATATAGGGAGAAAAAAAGAATGTGGTGCTTTTCTTAGGGGGGAGTCTCCGATTTTTTTAGGTTTAGGTTTGACGAGGCTAGAAGAGGGAACTCAAGTTCTGTTCCAAACAGAACACGAACATAGGTCTTTTACTCCGAAGACTGCAAAAAAACAAACTGTTGTGGGATAAAAAGTGTTGCGCATGTGCTGCGCCACACAGCACAAAGTGGTTTGAAGCGTTTTTTTACAAAAAACAAACAACACCTTATAGTCACATGCATTTTCCTTTTATCGTTAGTATTATATACTTTTCGACACACATAAGCAATTAAATATTACCATAAACTACTAATAGTCAAATGTTTTTTTTAACATTACCATTATTTACTTTTAGACACACATAAAAACTTAAACCATGACCATAAACTACTTATATTTGTACGTTTTTTTTTATCTTAAACCATGCCCATAAATTACTTATAGCCACATATTATTCCTTTTATCATTAGTATTGTTTACTTTTTGACACATAAGCAATTAAAGTGTAATCATAAACTACTAATAGTCATATGATATTTTAAGCATGACCGTTTTTTACTTTTAGAAACACATTAAAACTTAAATCGTCACCACATAATACTTAAAGCTACTAGTTTTGTTTCTTTCACTAAGTAGATAATAAACACTACGTTTTGGTAACACAAAATAATTTATGTGTCCATATGTATTAACTTTTAGACACATCAGATTCATGCGGCTAATTCAACTCAATGATTTAGACACATAACTAATTGGTTCAAGTGACCATATATGTATATATATCGTCTCATATTTTATTTATTTATTAAACACTCAAAAGATATAATGTTGTAACATATTGAAATTTGTACAAAAACCTTTTGACTTACGATTTGGTTCCCAAAAATATGTAAGTGGAATCGAAAGATTAGTAATCTCTTTGGTCTAAATTTGAAATGACCAATATGTGGAGTATAAAGTTGTAAGCTCCTTTTCAAACTTTTGATTTTCAACATGTAATGAAAATGTCTAAAGATAGAATAAAAGACTTTCTAAAACCAAAGAAGACCGCAAAAAATAATGGTGATGTAAAGAGACCAGATATGGATTCTACTCAATGACAAACACCGGTGCTTCATCCTAACAATTCAGACATGATCAAGTGTGATCCTCTCAGCGGGATGGACCGCAGGGTAAAAAGAAACATCCATTGCTTAGTATACAATTGTTAGTATTTCATGCATAATTCTTCATGAAAATTACCTATCCATGATCACTTACCCCGTTAAGCTCCAGTAGTTGATCCCAAGTATGAAGTCCCAAGTTGAAGGTTAGTGGTCCCGGTTCAATGTGTGAGATAACAACAAGATCCTAGACCAATAATGATACAATAACTATGAACTTATTCTATGGCATCCAAGGGAGTGAGAATAAACAGATAACAAAAATGTATGTATGCTAATGTCCTAAGTTAAATGTTATGCTAAAATAAAAGTAGAAAAGAAGAAAATAAAATCTTTTTGGAATTTTATAAAAATTGAAAAAAATGAATGCAATTTATTTACAAACTAGAATGTTATGAAACCTAACTAAAATGCACGTAAAAAGTAAAAACAAAAGGGAATACCCCACTCCAAGCTTAAGAACAAACATTGTCCTCAATGCTTAAGGTTAAGGCAGAAATGACCTATATCGGCGAGTCGGGTGGCGGGAAGTGTCCTTGGCGGTAGTGGTAATTCAAAATTTCTGGCAAAATTTTTGTGAGATTTTCCATTTTCATTCAGCTGGATGTGTAGAGCTAAAAAAAACTAAGAGAATGGCGCAAATTTCATTGAATTCCAACCGTAGAATTCTGTTAATCTTGATTTTTCCGGCGAGGTGGGCTTTGTGTTCTTGAGTGTTTTAGAGAAACAATAGAGGAATGGGGGAAGAAATTAATTTGAAGGTGGTATTTGGAGAAGAAGAGGCTATAACTTAACTCATTTGGTCAACGTAAGTTAACTAAAGTCAACCCACTTAAGTCTGATCAAAGAAGGTCAAGGCAAAAGGTCAAAAAAATCGATTTTTCATCTAGACATGCATGGGTATCGCACCCTCGCATGCGGATTGTGTGTGTGTATATATATATATATATATATATATATATATATATATATATATATATATATATATATATATATATATATATAGAGCTAGGTTCAAGTATTCTAACTAATTATTGTGCGCATATCGTATGCTATGAGAATTACTAAGAGAATAAGTTGTTTAACAATGCGAATACGTTCAACCTTACAAAAATATCGTCATCTTCATGCATTCTTGCTAATTATTATTTATTTTTGTTCTCACACGTCGTTTTTCACTCATTTTCATTCTGACAGAATACGAACCAATAAACATTCTGACAAACATTCTGACAGAAATGAGAATAATAATAATAAGTGTATAATAACCTTATAGACGATTTAGTTAGTGAGAATGTGTGTTAATGACAATAGTTATGTAAGATTAAACGTATTTATATTATCAAACAACATATTTTTTTATCATTCTCATAGCATACGATATCCGCACAATACTTAGTTAGAATAGAATAACCTAAGCATATATATATATATATATATATATATATATATATATATATATATATATATATATATATATATATAATCAGTTAAATTTATACTAACGGGGTGTTAAAGATTGCTTATTTAAGCTCTTTATTAGCTTATACCTATTTACCACCGGTAATAAGTAAATTTTAGTGTTTGGATAAGCAAATATTATAAGTGCTTATTGGGTCAAATAATGAGTTTTAGTAAGTTGGTTTCACATTACTTATTTGATACTCCTTATCAAAGTATGAAGTCTAATTATTTATTTACCCCTAATACTACTTAGAGCATCTTCAATGTTTAACCTACCCTATCACTTAATATTTTTGTCATATCATTATTCTAATACTTTTGACCTCTAATTAAATAAGCCCTCCAATGGTTAAGCTTTTTTCAATAGTTTTTTTTTTAATTTTTTAAATTTAACTAGTAGTCTTTAAACATCCTCATTTAATAAGTAGTCTTTAAACATATTATACTTATAAAATTAAATATTTTAAATTAAGGTTATCATTAGAAATTAATATATAAACATTTAATATATGAAAAACTATGATAGAAATAATTAAGTAGTTAAATAAATGAAAAATATTTAAATCTAGAATACAATTAAGGATACAAATATAAAATATGTTAAAATTAAGGATACAAATATAAAATATGTTAAAAATAGAAGGGATTAAATGTTTAAAACTTAATACTATATTTTGAGTGATCAATATAAGCATTCTACACCGGTAGTGTTAAATGAAAAAAAAAGTGTTGAATCAATAGAAAAAGACTTTAAAATAAATCTCCATTGGAGATTGACTAGTTTTTCTTTCACATTGTCTTTTTCACATAAAGCAAAGCTTCTCCACCTAGCATGTTTTTGAGCTTTACATTTAATCATTCCCGTTTTTTTATTTTTAAAAATATTATGTTTCTTGGTTATTGTTCAATATTATTAAATTCTTACATTGTTTACCAATTATGTTCGGAAACACATGATAGAATGATAAAAAAACATAATTTATTTTTCAATTTATCTGATATATCATTGTTTTTTGTTTTTGATATCTTGTTGGACCCCATCGTAACATCATCATACCCTTGTTTATAAATATCTTTTCAATGTTGTAAAATATATTTTTTTAAAATATTTTTTGATATTAATTTTCTATAAATAGTATTATCATATATGATTAAAAATATAATCTAATAAAAAACAAAAAGTCAATAATAATATGATATGGAAGATGTTATTTTCTGTAATTTTATATGTATAAGTCAAATTTGTCAAAATATTAAAAAACTTATCAACTTATCACATTTTGTTACTAGATAAGCTAATCCAATTTTTTTCTTTTTTAAATTCCGTTTTAATGCCGGATGAACTAGTAAGTACTTTAAAATAAAAAATCATAAGCTATTTTAAGTAAGCAATCCTAAACACCCCCTAAAAGTGATATGACAATCATCGGTCATCGCAGGTTAGTTCAGTGAAATGTTGCATATTCAAAAGTAGCACCAAAGAGATAGATGAATATGGAACTGTGAGTAAGAGATGGTTTGGGATGCAGATCGGCTCGATGCATTTACTCAAGAAAGCCTCAAAGGTCGCTCCTACATGCTTTGCACCCTAGTTGGCTGTTGTAAATTAAATTTATTTAGTTATGGAGTACAGTTGTTTAAAAAAAGGGGTATTCTATCCTAATTATAGTGACTGTGGCTGAAATCTATTTAGTCCTTAAATAGAAAACACCGGGCCCTTCTTTTGGAACAAAAACTTTTATAAAACAAAAGAAACTTGCAAAAAGTTGGAGAGTACAAAGTTTTCACCAAATACTTAATGCCACTATAATACTTGCGATTGGGGTTGAGAGAGACTTGCCTAAATTGTTGACCATTAATAATTGCCATTCAAGAATAAGAGTAACTCCTTATACAAACGCTCATGATCTGCAAGTCCATCCATATTCAATGTTAAGGAGCAATAATTAATCCCATTAGTTTACCTATTAAAATTTGGAAATAGAAAAATATTTTGGAATTAACTGTATACCTTTAGAAAAAAAGCGAGTAATCTCCTGAGGGTAATTGAAAAGCGGACAGATCACCACCAATAATATATTTCCACGACTTGTAATAACTCAAAGGATCTTCTTCATTCTCCTTATCTGTATTATACACATACACAGGACTGATTGCACACTCTCTTACCATTACTCCACCATATATCTCCTCTTCTAATATTGTAACACAAACTTCATCACCATTTTTAAGCTCATTGTCCCCAAACATCCAATGACTTAACCATACTATATCTTCATCAGTTTCTCCGACAGCATACATTTGACCATAATACGTCCAGGTGCGATTTGTTGTCACGTTCTGTACTTTCATCCTTAAATGACTTTCCTTTTTTGTGCCTGAAAGTGTATGCACAAAGCTTATATTTATTCCTTGTATTGTTTTATTCATTGAAGACGATGGCATGGCTATTGATATTGATGAACCCTTGCTTTTATGAGGCAACCAATCTGGAACTGCTTTCCCAGGAAAACATGTGCTAAATATTCCAAATTCGTAAAATATCTGCAAATAAAACATCAGATTATATGAATTTTATGCATATTTGTGTGTGTTTGTGAGATCCGTAGAAACAGAGCAGAAGAAAGAGAATACCTGTATTGGGAGTTTTTCCTTTGCACGAGACACCATGAATGAATCCTTTATCCGCACCTTGTGATCTTTCACATGGTGTAAATTTTTCCACCCCAAGCTACATAATATCTGCTCATCAATTTGTGCTATAGCTTGAATTTTTATTATGCCTTCAATTTCGGTCAATGACTCTGTATCATAGAAATACACAGCTGGTGGGGCCGACATTTCTTGAGGGAATGTTATTTTATTAAGTGACGAACACTTTTCAGTAAACAGATGTCTGATTGTACGTGGAGGGCACAATACCGACTTCAACATCGAACACTCTCCAACATCAAGTAACTCAAGCCTGCTAAGGTTTCTCACACAATCAGGCAGGGAATCAATTGGATTCTTCCTTAAATATAATCTCTTCAACATTGACATGCTACTGAAGTCCTTCGGAAAGGATTCATTAGATAAATTATTGCCCTTAAGCGACAAGGTTACTAGTGAAGGTAGCAAAAATAATTTTGGAGTTTTCCCTAAAAATTCTCCAACGGAAGAGGAAGATGCATATGACTCCATATCCTTCATCCGCATTAGAAATTCACTAGCACCTAAGCAACCGCTTAGTGATAAAACCTTAACATTCTTTAACTTGCGAATGCTAATTGGAACATTATTAAGCTTACTGCATTTGCTCATGTCAAGAATAACAAGGCTATCACATCCACCAATTGACTCACACACATGAACTAAGCTTTCACAGTTTGTAAGATACAACCTCTCAAGTGCAGGTAGCCCAGAGAAGCCTTCAACTCTAACAAGCTTGCAATAACTCAGATTAAGAATCTTCAATGACCCAAGAAGCTGTTGCATTGGATATCCTCTAATCAAGAATATTATCATGAAGATATTAATAATCTAAAAAATTGAAGTAAAAGCTTTAATTTCATACCTTTGGCTTCTTCCAAAGCCGTGTCATATTACTGTAAGACATGTCAAGATCAACCAAATTTTCCATTGGTAAGTCTGAAGGTATGAATTTTAAATGGAATCCATGCATGCACAACCACCTTAAACCTTTTGGAAAATTGTTGTAACATCCGTCGATTTTTACATGATTGAGTTGGAGCAGCTTTAGCTTATCCATCTTTCTTAATGCATCTGTTCTCAATTCGACTTTTTGGCTATGAAAAGATGAAAGCATTAGGAGAAGCCGAGCCAAAAACAACCAAATTCTTAAAAAGAACTTATAGACCATCAGGATTGGTTGAGCAGCTCTAAAAGTCTTGTTCACATCATCATTTTGGAAGTTATGCTCTGTCACACTACTTGATCTAGACGATAGCTCCTTTGTCAATAGATTCATGTCAAGGATAAGACCTTGAATTCTTTGGGTACCCTATCAAAAAGAAAATTACTTCAAGCATTCATTGTAATATGGATGACAAAGCTAACAAATACTCTTAATGACTACGTTCTATTTACCTTGTCCTTTTTTAACAAATCGAAGGAATCCTCATGCTTCCATACCCGACTACGCTTCCATGGCTTATCAGGTGATTCTTTGCGGACTAAATCTCTCCCCATCTCCTGAAGCAACTGATGCATTGTCATCATATTATTTGCTCCAATTGTGAGAAGACATCTATCAATGAGCTTGGTGATCCCATATGATACTTGAAACCCGCATTCCTTTAATATTGTTTCTGTAACTTCTCTTTCTTTTCCAACAAAAAAGCAAGCAATGTGCTTAAAAAGTTCTTTACAGTCCCCTGATAAAGAATCAAAGCTAATTTGCAGAGCCTTTTGTACATTCTCTTGTACATCAGTTAAATATCCATTTGCCTCCAACATTTCAAGGACATCACTCCATATGGCTGCACCTTCATTAATTAATGAACTACCCAAAACTTTAAGAGCCAGTGGATGTCCTCCACAATACTTGGCAACTTGTTCTGCTTTTTTCTCATAACCTTTCTTGGGATCATTGTTTCCAAACGCATGCCAACATAAAAGTTTCACAGATTCAGTATCACTTAAGACACGAAGTGCATGCTTTGTATGTTTTGGAGGAAATTTCATACGAAACAATGAACACTTTTTTGTTAGGGACCCATCTTTGGTTGTTACTATAATCTTGCTTCCTGGATGAAAACCTTTTGTTCCAATCAACACATCCAGTTGCTCAGAGTTATCTACATCATCAAGAACCAAAAGTGTTTTTTTCCTAGATAATGCTTTTTCAATCTTAGATGTGCAACGATCTGCATCATGTTCTTCAATATTTCTTTTCTTGAGAATGTCTCCAAGAAGCTGTTTTTGCAAATCTATCTGTTGTGCATATCTTCTTCCAATGCCTTCAACAAAGCTGCTTCTTTCAAATTCATGGTAGTGCAACATGTACATATATTCTGCCAATGTTGTTTTTCCGATCCCGGCCATCCCCCAAATTGTGAGAATTTCAGCAGCTTCAGAAGATCCTCTTTTCAACCAGGAACTGATTGTATAAATAGAATAGTCCATCCCAATTAGGTGTGGGATTCTCCTTTGCAAGTGTAGTTCCAGTCTAGTATTGATTTCTTTCACGACTTCTTCAATGACCACCGTCTCTCTTCTGAAAAAGGAATCAAATTCGATCAACAAGACACAGCAGCCCATATATCAAATTAAATAATACTGATCAATAACTAGTCTTCTGAATCCTTTTAATTAATATGAGAGGGACTAAAATAAAAATATACACACAGTTTTAACCAAATGGTGGGGCCACTTTGTATATGTATCCACTGTTCGTCCCCACGAAGCTTTTCATCCCAATTCCCAGCAATGGTAAAAAGCTAAATCTCCATACAAAACAGATGAATTTTGTGGAAATATAGTATGAATGTTTTACCTCCCAGTTGCATCTTTTCCTTTCAAATCAGCAATTTCTGTAAGTCCTTTCGTCCACATCTCCAACTTACGAGCACCTTGAGTTTTCTTCTCCGCATCCTTTTCGGACTCAATCCTCTGTTTGTGTTCAAATAACGCTTCTCCAAAAGTGCTTTCTTGCTTCCTGATATGTGTCGGCTCAACGTTGTAAAAAATGGGGAGAACAATATGGTCAGAGACCCGTCGTTGCTCTAAGATCATCAAGAGCTCGTCCAGACACCATGTTGAAGTTGCGTAGTTCTTAGACAAGACGATTATCGAAGCACGAGAGCTTTTTATAGCTCTTGCAAGTTCTGGTTTAAGTTCTTCCCCAGTTTCAACCTCTTCCTCATCAAGAAAGGTAGAGATGTTTTCATTCACCAAAGCTTGGTAGAGGTGATCCATAAAACCCAGACGAGTGTCTTTCCCTCTGAAACTCAGGAAAACATCATATGTCATTGCCGCTTCTTGTTCTTCTGGTAATTCAGTGAGGATGGCCATGGAAGTTGAGAAGAATTACAAGAGTGTACATAAGCTGGGATTATAAGTTTTCGTTGGTTCTGATTTTGGTTGTCTAGCTTAGATCTAAATTGGAGATGAGTGTCTCTTGTTTTGTACTAGAGTCAATGTTTGGCAGCAAAGTCAATGTTTGTTGTCTTCTTTAGCTGACTTGGTCTCCGCGTGAATACTTTTTTCTTCTCTTTTGGAAAAAGCATCACTAACATGATAACATATGAATTATGCGCGTGAATAATTTTTTGTTCTCTATTGGAAAAAGTATCACTAACATGATAACATATGAATTATGATGTTTAACTTTTAGAAAATATTCAATATTGGCTGATTATATAGTTTGCTAAAATTAACTGCACCAAAATCATTATATTATAATTTTATTTTTCATTCAATTGAACATCACAATATGTATTTTGTTTTTTTTTTCCAGTGTTTACTATATTTGAAGTTACCAATTGCCTATGACCTATCTATGTGAGTAATACACTTTGTTCGATTAAATGGTATTACATGGATATTGGTTTATTATAACACCAAAAGGTTTAACAATTGGAGGGTTAAATTGAATGAGTGTAACTTTATTGGTGTTCTTTACCGAACGAATACATGTGCACACTGTTAAGAAGGTAAGAATGTTTAAATTGAGTTACACCTCTTGATTACAAGTAATTTATTGTTATTGACAGTTATAGTTTTTATTGTTGCTGACAGTTTATTTCATTTCTTGATTAGAATGACATGGAGAAGCATTGTGATTCTAGATTTGAAGAAAGTGATTTGGCCTTAAAAAAGTTTGCTTTTATGGTGGATGAAACTTTGAAAAATATTCTAATACTATGAGTGTGGTCATTCATTTTATCATATATTTGAGTTTTCACATCAAACGTCATATCAAATTTTTTTCCTTATTCTCCCTTCACCTCATTTAACAACTATAGAGTCTTATCACATCACCTCTCACTTTTCGTTTCTTTTTTAATTAATATGTTAAAAAATTATTTTATAATTATATAAACATTTAAAGGGAAATTGAGTAAATCAACCCGTACAAATGAACTCTTTGAAAAAAATGACTTGAATTTCTTATTTTATTTTATTTTATTATTTTTTTTTTGTAAAATAACCATTTTGTCTGGAATACCGTGTTCTGGACCGGAGTAGGGTTCCAGACCATTGTTTCGGAATAGTTCCTTTTTTTTATGCGTAAAATGTGTTTTTGTTCTTTTTGTATAAATTTTGGTTTTACAAAATCTAAAATGCAACAGTAATCTTAAAATCAACAAAAAAAAAAGATAAACTAAAAGGATTTGTTTTAAGTAATATTACAATGTTCAAATCATCTTTGTCCTTCTACCCCAAAAAATAGGCTAGTCGTTAACGATATGTCATAGCCCATGGACCCCTTATGCCCTCTATAAAATACAATTTCTTGATGATCAACGTCCCTAGGAACCAATACAAAAACACCTCACAATCATCTCTACTATCAATCTGTTGAGGTACTACTTGTGGGGCCTTTTTAAGTGTCATGTTGAAACTCTCATGTGGAATTGACTCAGTTGGTTCGGTACCTAAGTAGTTGATACCGACTACCAGTCTGTGAATGCAGGCTCGCATAACCAATCCTCAATTTCTGAACAGTAGTTGCTCTTCCAATGACTATCATATATAGTCATTTTGAATGTCTTCATATCCAAAGCACCCAAAAACTAGTGAGCATTTGGTATATTGATTGGGATGTAAAGCTACAAAAAAAGGTTACAAATAATTAATCACCAAATCACATTATAATATATAAATACTTAGGTAATGTAATCTAAACACAATTATATTGTATCACAATCTACCTAAGTTAGGTAAACGGGTCTGTCAGCCATGTCACTCCAGTCAAATGTATCAGTGATGAAAGCTGACAACACAACCGTCCATCGACCGTCATCCTGTTTACGCTCTATCAACAATGAGATCACCAACATTATAGACTGTCAATCAAAATTTTTGCAGTAAAGTAAGTATTGTTATTAAATGAGTAGTACATAACAAGAACCTATTAATATAAATTACATCACATTCTAACCACCCTACGTGACTCTCCAGATATAAGCGCTTCCAAAATTCAATCGTCAGAATATAGGTTAAAAAAACGGTGAGTACACAGTCATAGAAGAAACTTTTAACAATGTTAACTAACATTCTTACGAATACAATTGCATGTAACTAAAATTTAGAAATCTTTCGATTGAAAGATCATGCACTACAAAGGTTAGAATCAAACGAGGGTAGCACAATAGAGCCTAATCAAGCATTCTAAATCTATTTAATTTTAATGACATGTAACCTAACACATTTGATTAATAGTTAATTAATATCAATATAGGTTTCTCATAGCACAAAGCAAAAAACATTCAAGCAGTCAATCTAACATAAAATTATATCACATACACTCTACACTAGCATACACTAACATTTCTTCTAAGTAAGTAAGAATCACATTCACTCTTCTACTCTATTTTACATGGAGTCTCCACCAGTCCTGACATGCCGTTTTGTGAATACACATTCGTATACAATGTAAAACTAGGTAGTCATTCGAATAAAAGATCTCACACTAGAATGGTTGGACTCAAACGAGAGTTGCACACTAGGCTAAATCATGCATTCCAAGTCTATATAGTTCTTATAACATACAACCTAAGACATTCACTTAACAACCTATCAGTACTAGCATAAATTCCAAATAGTATATAATAGACATCTGACACAACATGAAAAGTATCAGACTATCTAGCATACATACACCTTATGTCCTAGAAAGCAATAAACCACTTCAAACATTTAACCTTTTCCTTCCACTTCGGCTAACTGTACACACTGCGTCCTCGATTCCTGTTTCCAAAATTGTCCCTTTTTATTTTCAAAACTTTTTAAGAAAACATTTTCGACCAACAAACTTGAGTTCAAACACACCAAATTGTGTCTAATTCACTCAAGTTGTGATCTGATACCAACTTGAAACGTCCCAAAGATTTCAATAAATTTAAACTTTTAAAAATCCATTTATTAAAAAAATAGGGTACACAAACCATTAAATTTAATTAAAAACATTTACATTAATAGAATTCAACAATATCTCCAAAACCATAAGTTTTACACATCGGAGTTAAGTTACTGAACTCACATTTGAGATAAAATATCAAATTTTGTCTAGATGTACTTTCAAGCCTAGCCTTTCCCTTTAACAGTACCTACAGTTCCTAAAATTTTAGTCTAAAAGAGTCCCACGTGTGGTCCTGGGAAGCTTAGTGATAAAATCCATGGTAATGTCCTCCCACTTCCACACGGGGATGTCTAACGGTTGCATCTTGCCATGCAGCCTCTGGTGCTCCGCCTTGACCTTCCTGCAGGTCAGGCATCTCTCTACGTACCAAGCAACATCCCGCTTCATGCACGGCCACCAGTAATCGGGTCAAAGATCTTTGTACATCTTCGTCGCCCCTGGATGGATGGAGAACCTAGACTTGTGGGCCTCGTCCATCAACATATGTCGTACCCCGCCCCAGTACAGTACCCAGACCCTCCCATGCAGGGTCAACAATCCGCAACTGTCATAGTCAAAATAGGCCACCTGGCCTATGATCCGCTCGCACTTTCGGCGCTCCTCTTCAGGCCCTCAACCTGCGCCTCTCGGATCTGATCCAAGAATGGAGTAATCATTGTCATCCTCAGACAGATGTCTCAGCTCAGGGCCGCTACCGCCTTGCAACTCAGGGCGTCAGCCACTACGTTGGCCTTGCCCGGGTGGTAAAGGATCTCATAGTCGTAATCCTTCACCACATCTAACCGCCGACGCTGCCCCATGTTCAGATGCGGCTGATCCATGAGGTACCTCAAACTCTTGTGGTTCGTGTAAATGGTACACCGGACCCCGTAGAGGTAATGCTGCCAAATATTGAGGGCGAACACCACAGCCCCCAGCTCTAAATCATGTGTCGGATAGTTAGCATCGTGAGGCTTCATCTGCCTCGAAGCATAAGCTATCACATGACCCCGCTTCATCAACAATACTCCCATGCTTGTGATCGAAGCATCACAGGAGACTACGAAGTCATCTACTCCCTCCGGCAGGGTGAGAATCAGCGCCTCACACAATCGCTGCCCGAGCGTCTCAAAAGTTATCTGCTGCTCAGGACCCCAACGCAAAACCACCGACTTCTTGGTCAGTCGGGTGAACGGAACTGCTATCTTGGAGAAGTCCTGGATAAATCTCATGTAATACCCTGCCAGACCCAGGAAGCTCCGAATCTCAGTTGGAGACCTCGGAGTCTCCCACTACATCACGACCTCTATCTTGTCCGGATCTACCAAAATACCCTTCTGGTTAACAAGGTGCCCAAGGAACTGCACCTCGCGCAACCAGAAGTCACACTTTGAGAACTTCGCATAAAGTCTCTCCCTCCTCAGTGTCTCCAGCACCTCTCTCAGGTGCTCCTCATGCTGCCCCTGAGTCTTGGAGTAAACCAAAATGTCATCAATGAATACTATTACAGACCGATCTAGCATCGGTCTGCACACACGGTTCATGAGGTCCATGAACGCGGCTGGAGCATTGGTGAGCCCAAACAGCATCACCACGAACTCATAATGGCCATAGCGGGTCCTGAAAGCGGTCTACTACACATCATCATCTCTGAACCGCATCTGGTGATATCCGGACCGTAGATCAAATTTGGAGAACTAAGATGCTCCCTGAAGCTGATCAAACAAATCATCTATCCTCGGGAGTGGGTAACGGTTCTTCACCATTACCTTGTTCAGCTCCCGGTAGTCTATGCACATGCGATGTGACCCGTCCTTCTTCTTCACAAATAGAATCAGGGCTCCCCATGGCGTACTGCTCGGCCTGATAAAACCCTTGTCTAACAGCTCTTGCAGTTGCGTAGAAAACTCCTGCATCTCGGGAGGAGCCAACCGATATGGTGCCTTGGCTATCGGAGCCGCACCAGGGACCAGGTTAATCCGGAACTCAACCTTTCTCTCCGGAGGTATCCCAGGTAAATCCTCCTGGGAATACATTCGGGTACTCTCGCACTACCGGTACATCCTCAACCGTCGCCTTACCCTTATCCCGGGTGTCCATGACAT